CCCCTGCTGGCTGCCCCCTGCTGGCTGCCCCTGCTAGCTGCCCCCTGCTAGCTGTCCAGAGACTGTCGTTTTAAAAGGTTCAGTGTAGAATGTAGTGACATCTAGTGGTGAAGTGTCACGTTGCAGCTGAATAAACTTAATACATAGTCGTAGTTGAGATAACTTACGGAGAGTTGAGAAATATTTAGTTCATGTTTCTATATTCAGATTCTGCAGGAAATGACATCACAGAAGGAGCAAATCACAGCAACAAGTATGTTCAGTGTTAATATGTTAAAGATTCTTTCTTTTGAAACATCCCGCTGCTCTGTGTGTGTGTGTGTGTCTGTGTGTGTGTGTGTGTGTGTGTGTGTGTGTGTGTGTGTGATAATGTACCTGCTTCTCACTCAGTGCTGTGATCTTTGCTTGAAGTTCGTGGAGCTGCTTCTTCAGATCTGCGTTCTATAAAACAAGAGGCAGTCAGAGCGAGCTGAACCTCGGAGACGCTTTGATGGAAACAGGTGTGAACTCACTGCGTGTAAGAAATAACGTGTGCTGGGTTTTACCTGAGGGTCCTGCTTCATCTGGGCAACGAGTTTCTGCAGAAGAAGACAAGACACAGTTAGATACATACAAATAACACGATGACACCTACTGGTCACCACAGAGAACTACAACCTGGTGACACATTTGAATCAACAGCGACGCTTGAGTATTTTTTACTTTCACTCTACATTTTAACACAAATACCTTTAACAACTTTCTACTTCTTACATTTACAAAACAGGCTTGTAACTTTGGGGTTAATGGATTTGAGCTGAATCATGTTTAGTTTAGTTTTTTTCATCCATCCTGGACAAAATGAAGGAAACTTCATTCAACACAATGTACACACTTCCTGCTCCTGGAACCTTTTTCATGGCTTTTCTTACGTTAACCTGTTTTCAGTTGATTGACATCAAATAAAATAAAAAAGTGGTTTAAGTTAAATAATCTTTGAACTATATTAATATGACACAAGTCTTAGTACTTCAACTGGAGTAAAGAATGTGTGTACATTTACCTCGTCTGTGTTTATTTGAGGATCACCATGATTCAGTGTTTTACTAAATAAAATAAATCTCTAAATCTTATCAGACCATTAAGTAAATCACAAGGTTAATACATTTCAGTTGTAAAGCTCACTACATTCACACATACTGATGATAAATGATGTGAAATCAAAGCTGTAACACAAAACTGAATCAAACACAATGAGAGATGAAAGAGTCTCACCTGATGGATCTGGATCTCCACCTTCAGAGCCTCCTGTAATGTCTGTAATTCCATCATGGATCCAGTCAGTCTGCCAGCTGA